TTGAGGAGAGGTAGTAGTCTGGCTAAGAGGGTCTTTGCACAGCTCTGGATTGGGCATCAGTTGTGCCCAATCCTGGATAGGGAGGTTTGGCTCACATTCATTCTAGTCACCTCCATACTAGACTACTGTAATATACTCTATATGCAGCTGCCCTTGAAGAATTATTTGGAAGCTTCAGCTGGTGCAAAAGACAGGTCATATTAAACCTCTGCTGTGTGATCTGCATTGGTTGCCAGTTTGCTTTCAGGGCCAAATGCAAAGTGCTGGTTTTAACCTTTAAAGGCCTTCATGGAATGGGACTGGATTATGTGGGGGGCTGCCTGTCTCTTAATTATATCAGCCCAACCCACTAGATCTGGCAGAGAAGGCACAATGCAGATACCATCTGCCAGGGACCTACATTTGGCAGATCCCAGGTAGTGGGTCTCTTCGCTGCTGTGGCATCTGTCTTATAGAACTTTCTCCCCCCCCCCAACATAAAGTTAGCTTCATCCTTTTAATGTTCCAGAAATTCCTCAAGACCTGGTTATGCCATCAAGTCTGGGAATCAGAGTAAACTTCTATGAGATGGGTGATCAATCAATCAATAATATCATGCAGACATAATACTGATAAAAGAGAATATTTGTAACTCAAGGTTGAACTATGGAGCCCTTAATAAGTGTTGATGTTACCTAGTTGGGTAATGAAACATCTGTAAGAAAACAACTGAACTCAGAGAGCACCAAGGACCCCACAGACATAATACTGCACTAGAGTCAGCCATGAAAATAGGAAGGAAAATAGCAGAACATCTAGAAATGGTAACCTGCTGAAACTTGAAAAATATTTTTCAATTTTTTGATCCCTCCCTTTTAAAAATATATAAGACAAAACCTATTTTTATTTTGTATCTCCAGTAGCCTTTATGGAGAATAATAATGAATGCAAGACTGCCATGGTATCTTGAATATGGACTATTATCTACCTTCAAGTAAAATTTCTGATCTTCATCTAACACTCTGTATATTCCATAATAAAATATCCTTTATATTTAGCAGTGATTTTTCTCATCTTAGGAGAGCTTAAACCAGAGAAAAAGTGTATACCGAAGGAAGTAACAATAGTATACTGAGCTGTCAGCTGGATCAGCAACATGTTAGTTAGAATTATTGATTAAACCACTCTGGGTTTCATCTGAATTAATCTTAGGAACTCAGTCTTAGAAGCTATTTAATAGGTTTTTTTATAATTATGTACAAAGACCGTATCTGCCAAGCTTTCATTACTTACTGTTAAAGAACTCTAGATCTTTAGTACTGGCAATAAGGTTTCCTGATCACCTGGCCTAATTTCAAATTAAAACAGTCAGGCCTCCAATGTTAGAGAGGATAAGACCAACTGCCATTTGATTACTTTCCTGCCAAGACATCAGCATCCAGGCAAGCAAAGAGACAGAATATACAAGTCCTATCTTATTTACTTAACATATTCCTTTCCTTAACTGCCTCAAGCAGCAACCATCAGAAGAAGAGATGAGGTGGAGGCCTTTTCCACAAGTCTAGTTTAGCCTAACTCCTATCTGTTTTTTCCCAGAGCCATCACCTGCAGTTCCATCATAGCATCATTAGATATCAGAAGTTGGAAATGCTTTGATTTTATGCAGACTTCAGCATAATTTAGCTCTCTGAATGCTTTAGTTCTACTTGTGAACTGTAACAATGGTGTAAGAAGAAATAATGAACCAAACTGGCAGCTTAGAGAAAAACAGCTATGCCATTGTGGTTTCTAACTCTGCCTTTACCATCTGTATCCCCCAACTGACTTCCTGTAAGTCAATAGTGGTCTGAATGTATTTTCCTTTTAACTCCACTCATCTATTTCTTTTGCGTACTCATATCTTCAACTAAATAAATTTGAATGCTGACAGAAATGGCTTATTTAAATGTAGTAAGTAATTGTTATGGCTTTCTGGCAAATCTCAGCTTGGAATTATCAAGTATCAGTAGAATTAAATGAGTAAGCGCATAGGCAAAGTACTAGGTTTATAATGATATTCCATGTCTCTGTAGAACATCAGAGAAAAGTATTCTGATCACATATTTTCCCTTTCTTCCTCAATATAGCACATTTTCTTTCCATCTTACATATCTAATTCAATGTGGAGTATTACCCTGTAAAGATAAATTACCTCAAAGTATTTCAGATATTTCATCCGTTAGAAAAATAAATGTCCTACTGCACAGAAAAAATGGGATCCTAATTTAGTGCATCCATTTACATATTTGTAATTTAAATTGCTTTTCTAGCCAGTAAAACTACCTCATTAGCAATTACCTGTCTTAAAAAGCTACTATAAGAAGAATAGTGGGTCATAGGGGTATTCATAAAATAGAAAACATTTTGTTTTGAACCCAAAACAAACCATTACATTGCAAAAATTCTACCATACCATGTTGGGCTCTTTGTAACCTCTCATTCTCTCTTCAGCAGTTGCCAGCTTGGCATAACTGCCTGGTCCAGCCCCACCTGCTTCCCAGTGTCTCCCTTCTCTTCTCTCAGTAAGCCATGGCTGATGCCATAGAGGGACATAACTCACCAATCTCCCCCAACCCCAATATTTCCTGTGAGAAAATTTATTCTCATTCAGAGAAAAGTAAAAAAATAAAAAATATGACCTGCAAATATCGTAATCACAATAATAAACTGTATGCCACCAAGCTTTCAACAATTTAGGAGAAAACACAGGGCTATACAGTTTTGGACAACAAAATGACCTATCTCACTTTAGTTAAAAAAAAATCATATTGCAAGGGCACACATGATCTGCATCTCTAACCAAATTTTTGTAAGAATATGTTTTATTTTCCTATTTTCTGATAACAGAATATTTATAATACTTTATTTTTTTGCCTTTATAAAGTTTGAAGTAATATACACTGTTTTCCCCTTCTCACTCATTTTATCTTAACAATACTCTTGTGTGGCTCATGCCCATCTGGGACCTTTAGAACCAGGTGGACATTTGAATCTGATCTCCTGGGTCCTAGTCAGACATTCTTACTACCATATCATATGAGTTTTATAACAAATGTTTGAAAATAATTCAAGTATGAGTGTTTTTACCTTTGGCTGAAAGTATTTTATTGTAGTGAACAGCCATGTGATCCCTGATGAGGTACTGATTACTGAGTCTGCGGGAGGAGGAGTCAATGCAGAAAGCTACCAAAATAAAACATATTTGAGCATTAGGATAAAATGCCAATAATCTGGATCCACAATTGCAGATACAAGGAAAAAATGAAAATGTGAATAAAGGTGGCATTAAAATGAAATAAATAGCATAATAGACCTGGATATTGTTGCATACTGTTTTTCTTGGAATGAATAAACTGTATGAAAAAGGGAGAATGATGGTGTCCATTTATGAGAAAGTAGTGATGATCTAGCCACAGAACCTAATTATTTCAATGATTAAAAATATAGTCAAAACTTTTCTGCCACAAATTGAAATTGTCCAAGGCAATGGTAGTTAAAACATTTAAAGTACTTAAAACAGAGAACTAGATGAAGGTGCACTAAAAGAAACTAGACATACTTAAACTAAACCAACCTATTCTAAATACCTTCATTTAATCTAAAACATTATTAAGTAAAAAGTGGAACCATAAAACAAAGTTTTTAGATTGAACCAGAGAAAAAACCTCACCCAAGTTCACAAGGTGGCAGTTTGTATATGAGATCCTTCTTCTCCTCACATATAAGAGAATAAGTAGATTAATGCAATCCTTGGCAGAGAATCTTTCCCAAGATTTATATAACATTCTCTGAGGTTTGTTCTATATAAAAGGTGCTTATTTTATTACAGGAATATTTATTTTGTTAAGTCTTATTTAAAATGGCCTGAGAAATGATCAGGAATTCTTGATGCCATAGCATTGTTTGCAGGTGTAGTTTTCAAGCTGAAAGATCCCACAAATCCCTGTGTGAAAGCACTACATTTTAAAAAGTTTAAGTTACTACTCCTATTTTTTTAACTTAACATTATAAAAAAATTAATTAAATAAAATTAAACATAATGATCTTTCATTAGCCACATCTATTTCTTGCTATGAATTAATTTAGATTACAGGGGTCAAACTCGATCGCATCACGTGACGTATCATGACTTTTTTGCCATTGCGGAGTTGGGGTGGGCGTGGCCAGCATGTGACACATCCAGCCCGCAGGCCGCCAGTTTAACACCCATGATTTAGATTAAACAGGATGCCATTTCTTCCAGATCCCTTAATGCTTTAGATATGAGTGGGCTTCAGCTGTATTTGCTGAGATCATGGATTTCAAGAGGTCAGTGGACTGCTATCAGCAGGCTTATTCAATGGTCTTGCTTTTTTGATCCTTTTTGACTTTCTTAGTTTCTTAATACCATCAGAGTTCATAGCTTGTGCTAAGATAGCAGTTCCAACAACTAATCATATATTAAATAAATAAGCAAACTAAAATCAACCCTCACACAAGACTGAGATTCTTCTGTTACTGAGCCATGAACAAGATGAGCGCTAATCACAGAGCCATTTCAGCAATGCTTCTGCCAATAAAAGTTTATGTCTTAACAGTCAGTGGAGCAGCACGTATCCATGCATGTGAAACTAGCATGACATCCTCAACACAGCCACTCCAAGAATAGACCCATTATGAAGTCAATGTGATCACTCTGAGGTAAAGAGGCTTAAGGATTTCAGCTTGAAAGTTCTGACAATTTCATGCTAATGAAGACAGAAAGCACTGATGGGACAAGTGGTGAGAGAATTTATTTAAATTTACACAGAATAAATAAATATGGCAATTTTAATTCACTGTGTTTTGAAAAAAGAAGCTAAATGAAGAACTACGATAATACTTTGTGTACATTTTTTGAATTATTTAAGTTACATGGTTTTCAAAAATATCTAGTTATGCTTCTTTAACAGTTTTCTCTAGATTGAAAGTTGTATTACTTATTGCTAAAAACAAGATCAAGATGGCTAAATATTTTCCTTTAATAACATTATTAGGTTTAGATTTAATTTCTTGGTTAAACTAACTGATTATACTGCTAAATTTTGTCAAATTAATGCTTAAATAAAAGGCCTGTAGCACTCTATGCCTAGTGTGCTTTCCAAATAAATTATTTATCACATCACATAAATTACTTACCATTACTTTTTGTACTTAAATGTCCTTTGAATGGGCTTGCCAGTCCATATCTAGGAATGGTCAGATACTCAATTACTGAAAGAAAAAAGAAAAAAAAAACTAAGTTTAGATTGTTGTAATTGCCTGTTAAAAATCTGGGGCTGTAGGATTTTTTTTTTAAACCTACTTTAATATTTTGCTATCAAGAAAGTAGATTCATTAATGGAGAATGCTATGCTTTCATAGGCTTAGGTTTTTATGCAGATGCTACCTAAGTTTAGACTGCAATGAAAGCAAATGGCATATTTTTCTCTTTTTTATATAGACTACCTACTATATTTACTATAATTTTAGCAACTTTATTATGGTGGAAAACAACATACAAGCAACCAATGCAGTCTTTCTAAACGCATTTTCAGCAAGAAATATTTAAAGTTTAACATTAAAATTCAGGGGAAATATAATAGCTCAGCAATTAAACAAATATTAATTTGAGAGTGATTCTGGCCTAAGGCCAGAAAGTTTGTTAGTTTGTCAGTGTTACAGTTAAACAAGCAGTGTGTGGTAGCTATACTGACTCAAAAGAGCAGACCAAAGGCTGTATAAAAATGAATCTATTCAGCTCTTGAAAATTTTACTAGGACAGAATGGGACTTCTGCAATGAAAGAATAGCACTATATCTCTTCAAACTTCTCATATAGTCCTGGCTGAACTGCTTGGGAAGATGTCCCTTTGTCTGAATATTATAAAAGAACTTCTTGGGACGTATGCACAGTTGGAAGTTCCCATTTGAGTTTTACTTTAGATGTCACTCATTAGCTTACTTTGCTAATAGTGACGCAAAAAGCTACGAAGACTATAAGTAGTCCTTACCAACTGCCTTGTTTAATGACGAAAATGTAAAAAATAGTGTAAAAAAACAAACCCAAAGCTTTGCAACTAAACTTCTTGTTTATGATCATTGCAACATCCTGCAGCCATTTGATGGCATCTGGCACACATTTATGACTGTTGCAAAGTCTTATGGTCATGCTATTTGCGGGCTTCGCAACTGGCTTCCCAGAAACAGAATTAATAGAGAAGATAAAAGTAATGTGATGACTCACTTAACAACAGAATGGAAAGTGATGTTGTAAGTCCATCTCTATCACATGATTTTCTGTGCTTAGCAACAGGTCCCATTTGTGGTTGCTAAACAAGGACTACCTAATTTTTTTCTCTGGTCAGAAAGTTCCACTGCTATAAATTTGCACCTGGATAACATCATTAATAAAAACTTTTCTCAGAAAGAATAACTTTCTCATTAATATTTTTAAAGTAGTATTTCCTCAATTGTGTTATACATGCTTAGTAGGAAAGACAGGCCATTACATGAGATCTTCCACCTTTTATTTTATTTATTTATTTAAAACATTTATATGGTCGCCCATCTTTCAGACAATTTTGGGCAACTCTCAATAAAATGGAATGTATGTAGATCCTATTTTGCATGAGAAAGCTAAGATAGTAAAGAAAATTATTTCCATTCTACAAAAACTTTTAATATGGTATATCTTTGGGAAATTACAACATCTATTAGGCATAGTCATTTATCTTTCAGGATATGTTTTACAGATATTCTGGTATCAAGAAATTATTTCTACCTAAAGATGAAGAAGACTACAAATGCATGGAGAGCACTGCACGTTCTTGGTTCAACAGACTTCAGGCACAATGGTCAATTTTTTAATATGAATTCCATCAATGAACTTTTCCCATTTCATGGATAAATATCAGGGTCTGACCATTAAAATGTATCTACTGAATTTAAATGTTACTGCAAACAATCCCATTTACAACAACTACATAATTAAACAAATGACACAAATGATGTAAATGAAATACATTTAGACTTAAAACCACACTCACATTTAATGGACATCACTCTTGAATGATCTTGCCTCAAAAATCACATTTGTTGTGTTTGAACAAGCAAGTTTCCAGGACAAAATAATTAAGATATTGCAAAATACTAACACCACAGACAAAATACTATACATCATTTATTTCCTACAACTATATACAGGTAGTTCTTGACTTACAACAGTTCGTTTCGTGACCATTCAAAGTTACAACAGCACTGAAAAAAATGACTTATGACCATTTTTCACACTTATGACCGTTACAGCATCGCCATAGTGATGCGATCAAAATTCAGACATTTGGCAACTGACTCCTATTTATGACAGTTGCAATGTCCCAGGATCATATGATCACCTTTTGCAACCTTCTGACAAGCAAAATCAATGGGAAGCCAGATTCGCTTAACAATTGTGTTATTAATTCAAAAAGTGCAGCCAAGATTGTAAAATGGGGCAAAGCTCACTTAACAGATGTCTCACTTAGCAACATAGATTTTGAGCTCAATTGTGGTCATAAGCCGAGGACCACCTGTATCTCACCCTTCTTCAGTTGATTTGCAGCAAGCAATGCAAAAAGATGGAGGGGGCTGATATCCATTGACAATAGTCCATGGGTGCATTAAGTCTTTGAAAACCCTGCTTGCTGGTGCCAAGTTCTTGCCCTTAGTAGTGGATTCGCAAGTCAGAAAATGTATTTGATTTAGGATAGGGAATTTTTTCCTATGCTTTAGCAATTGCTGCTGCTGCCGCCGTGGAGTTAGATAATCAGGCCGGGAAATCCCCACGCTCCTCGTCCCTTCCCTGCGTTAACTGGAGCAGGCCAGCACCGTTGAGGAAGCTTTCCCCCCCACCGCTTTCCCTCCCCCAAGAGCCCAGAACGGCGCATTCTGGAACGGCTGCGGAGCCTGAGAAGCAGTGCATGCTGGGTCACAGAACCCCAGCCTGCGCGAGGAGGTGAAGTCGCGTAACCTTCGGCTGCGCGAGGGGATCCGGTCCCACGGGATGCTGGAATCTGGATCTTAGTCGCCGGCCACCCACAAACCAAGTGCTTCGGATGAGCGGGGCAGCCCTCCCTCCGACTGCAGCGAGCCGGGAGCTCTAGAAAAGAAGGCGCCCGGCAGCGGTGCCAATCGGGACCTTAAGAGTGAATCCTCGGGCGCCTCCTTCCCCGGCGCTACGGGAGCAGATGCCCGACCCCGCTCGGTCTCTGCGCGCTACCTGGGCTGCTCCGCCTCCTCCTGCGCTCGCCACTCTCGTCCATCCTGACCCCCATGTTCTCGCTCTAGGGTCCGCTCCTCGCCTTAGGGTCGGCCCCGGGAGCCCCGGCGCTTCCCGGCTGTTTTCGTTTCCCTCCTCCCTCTCTCTGCGCAGGCAAAGCAAGGCAAGAGGAGGGCCTAGTCGGCGGCGAGGTTGCTATAGCCACCCTCGCTCCCTTCGCCGCCGGGACGTCTTAGGCTCAGGAAGGGCGGGGAAGGGGCGGGGAAGATGGGTAGAAAAGCCGTCCCATTCCGGGCATACGGTCTCCGGGAGAAGCCTTCAGTCTTTCTCGCCCGGCGTGGCCTGACGACATCGCCCAATCGAGAGCAGCCGAATTTCCCGCCCTTAAATGTCAGCCACAGGGACAAGTCATCAGATTTGCAGTTTCTGGAGGACACCCGGATTGGAAGAAGCTGTCGAAAAGGAGGAAGGTTAAAGAAGGGGAGTGAAAAAAAAAGGATCTGCCTCGATTTATCGTGCCATCCTATACATACCTACTCGGGGATAAAGCCTTAAGGCCTCCAAATGGGACGTTTCTAAAATGGTTATCTTTAATTTTGAGCATCAGGTGTAGAACCCCACTGAGCGCACGCAAGGTTAATCCCGCAGCATTGCAGGGTAAACCAGTCAATGGTACTAATCAACTAAAGCAGGGGTAGTCAACCTTGGCTCTTTTATGACTCGTGGACTTCAACTCCCAGAATTCCTGAGCCAGCACAGCACCGAGTCCTTAAGACCCTCAACTTCAGGTGCTCAGTATTTTCTCGGTTCCAACTGATGGGGACTTGATTTCAGTGTTTCGACTCGAACAATGAAATACCGACTGTGAACGAGTCCTTCTCCGTTGAATAGATATAGATAGATAGGATAGATATATTTATTTTTACATTTACAAGCAAACAAGGTTTAGAATTTAGAGGGAAAGTTCTTCACTGATTGCTTTGAAATTTTGACACAACGTTGCATTCGAATACGTGCGTGTTTTTATATACCTATATTATATAGATGTCACACCTGTGACAGGTAAAAACATGCTTTTTTAAAAAAAAAAACAGCGTCATCTGTTGGACGTAAAAGCAACACAAAGTGCGCTTTCTCTTTTCTTTCTTTTCCATTTAACCAGACAGCCACAGCAAGGCGTGGCCGGGTACAGCTAGTAGATAATAAAAAAGCTGGACAGTATTTGAATTTAAGGGCTATGCCTGCTGGATAGAAGGCATAAAGACAAAAAACAGACAAAATATCTATGTGCACTTGTCTGGTGTAAGTAAGTTTCATTGGCTATAGTTGGCATTGCTTTTAAGAAAACTTGCTTAAAATTGTATAAGAAAGCAGTGTTGTCTGATGCTAAGGCAGATCAAATTTTTACAGGTAAATCAAAAATCCTTTTCTGTATTATAAAAAGTAAAAATATATTAATGCAGTTCTGGATCTTAGACATCCCAATTTACTTGGAGCGCTATTAGGAAAGAGATAGGACACAAGACGTTAGTAGAAACCTTTTTGATTTGCTAAGAAGCCTACCCCCTCCTACATTCCATTCATTCCCGTACAGTAATGGTGTGGTGAGAGGAGAGTTAGTTTTGATTTTGTTTCCAGCTACTACCAGTATTGCTTAACACATTTTGGTAATATAGGAGATACTATAGCAATGCCTATTCATACATGAACAGGCATTGTTACACTCAGTGCTTTTTTTCTAAAAAAAAAAAAAAAGTGCCAGAACTCAGACATGTCATACAACCTGCCTTGCCTACCCTACAAGGTTCCATCCAAAAAAGGTGCTGGAAGTCCGTTCTGGGCATTCTATGACAAAAAAAAAAGCCCTGGTCATCCTTATGCATAAACCACTGATGCCTGAATTTGAATTTTTTAATGACAGTTGGGTTGTTCATCCTGAATATGAATTACTGTTTGGCAAGGTATATTAGAAATACTTGTAATGTGTACCCTACAAGTTTACATCCAAAAAAGGTGCTGGAACTCCATTCTGGGCGTTCTATGAGAAAAAAAGCCCTGGTTACACTGCATGTAATGTGGTAATGGAATGTAAGAGAAGCTTGTCCCAAATTAAATTAGCAATTCCAGCTTCAATGAATTCTAGCTTCACTCTTATCATGTCCCCACCCTATTTTTATCAATTCCACTGGCAAAGGGATGGAGTTTTCTTGGAATATTTCCATAGTTCTGTTGATCTATCTGCCTGTAAATGGATATTGCTATATGCTAAACATCAGAGAATGTTCAGATTAGGATTCCTAGCATATAAGCATTGCTGGAGCAGGGTCCGCAAGATTGTCTAGACACTACACATCCTCTTCACGACCTGTTTTCCTTGTTACCTTCTGGGAGGAGGTATCAACCTTGTGAACTCTAAAGCTTCCTCTTTCGGTTATGTATTCAAGATGGACAGTGATTAATATTTACATGTTATTTATATGTAAGGGTGTAAGTTTATACATATGTTGTATATAGCATGATTAAATGTGTGTTATGTATGTGTACATTTTTGATAGCAAGCAACAAAAATTCATTTTTAATGTGTGCC